ATATATGCAGTGTATTATTTGTTGAAACTGTACTTCCGATTTGATTTGAAACTGTCTTATTGCTATCTGTTTATCAATAAAACTTTGAAAAAAAAAGAAAAAAAATTATGGGAGAGGATAAACCTTTTTTGTATGTAGTGTTTATGAAAAGGCGATACAGACGTTTACAAAGGCCTACTCTTTCCTACTTGTAATTCCCACTCTCTAGAAAGAGCTGTTCTCTTCTGGCAGACTTGTCTCTAATATCATCCTCTTTTTGCTAATACTTGATTTTATTGTTTATGTATCTACAGTTTTTATATTTTATGTATCCATTTCTGGTTTTTGTCTTTTGTCTTTTTGAGACAGGATCTTCCTGTGTAGTTCAGGCTGGCCTTGAGCTAACTTTGTAGTGCATGCTGGTCTTGAACTCACAGTGATCCCCTTGTCTCAGCCTCCTGAAGTCTGGGATTACAGGCCTGCACCACCATGCCCAGTTTATGTGTCTATTTCATCATGGAAGATAGCTCTTGTGCTATCTTCATATAGCTCTTGTGCGAACTCCTTTGTTCCTCTTAGCTTTTCAATATTATGCCATGATTACTGTTATTAGTTTATATTATAAAAATATCAATTCTATCTCATTTCTTGAACAACCTCTCTTGAGTATTAATAAATGCTTCGTGGATTGGGTTGACTTAATTTTTTTTTGTATGAGTTTTGAGCATCCTTGAGGGTTTGTGTAATAAAGTATTCCAATAAATTAAGTATTATGACACATTCTCATTAGTATTACAAAAATATTAACTCCCTTTCAATGCAAGATTTTAGGACAGGGCTGGGGAGATAGCTTGGTGGTTTAAGGGCCTGCCTGTCAAGGACAAGGACTTGGGTTCAATCCCAGCATGCTATGCCTGCCCTGGAACCTGGCACCTCAAGCTGGCCACAGAAACGGCATGATGACACATGCCTGTAATCCCAGCACTGTGGGGAGACTGAGACAGGAGAATTACTACAAGTCTGAGCTGCATAGTGACCCTATATCAAATAAATAAATGAATAAATAAAAGATTTTTAAAACTTTAAAAAAGATTTTAGGACACATCAATTAATTATACATTTTAAGTTGGAATCTCAAGGTCAATCCTTTAATATTTTAAATTCTGATAACTATAAGTACTTCAAATATCAAAATTGACATTATGGGTTAGGTTTACTTTGACATCTATATAATTTATTGCAATTGTGAGTTAATACCTGCCAATCCTCCACACTAAAATAAGAAACAACCTGTGCTTGTTTATCTTATCTAAAATGTAAAATTCAATAATTAAAAACATCTTAAAAATTGGAAGACAAGAGAGAGTGGATTAGTAAATCTTCCTGTTTAACAGTCATATGCAGAAACCCCTGAAAAACACAACTGTGAAACTTGAGCTAAAGTATAAATGAGTGTGTCATGCCTGTAATACCAGCTACTGTGGAGGCTAAGACAGAAAGACTGAAAGTTCCAGGTTCCTCAGTGAGATTCTGACTGAAATCTAAGAGGGAAAAAAAAGTGAAAGTAGGAGAGAGTGCAGGGCAAAGGGAATGATGGGGCCTATGTGTAAAAATGATCAAAGTGTGTTATGTGCATACACAAATCTGCCAGTGTAAAGCCCATTTATTCTTTCCTGTCTACCATGTCTGAGCCACTGTCCTCTACTGTCCTCCATTGTCCTGGGCAGAGTTCTGCCTTGGAGCAGGTGACTCTGAGCTGCAACATGAGCCAAACTAAACCTCTCTTCTCTTAAGTTGTGGGTGTCAGCTATTTTGTCAGAGGAGCAAGCAAAATGGTTAAGGTAGTTCTTCAGGACAGACCACAGGCTAAGTCATAGGCTAGGCTCACCAAAATCATACAGGATGGTTCCTTGGTCACAGTGAAGTTAAATTAGAAATGTGTAGCCGAAGAAAAATTGAGAAACTCACAAATAACTGGAAATTAAAGGAGGCACTCTTAAAAGAACCACTGGATCAAAGGAAAAATCACTGGTCAATTAGAAACTGCCTTGAGATGATAGAAACAAAAGAATACAAACACTTTGGTGTGTGGCAAACTCTGCTCAAGCAAGATTCATTCCTGCATGTACCCACATCATAAAAGAAGACCACAATTTAATAAACCAACCTTTCCCTTGAGTAGCAGAGAAAGAGCAAACTAAAGCCAAAGCAGTCAGAAGGAGGAAATAACAAAGAATAGTACAAAAATATATAACATAAAGAATACAAAAAACTAGCAAAACGTAAAATAGATTCTTTGAAAGATCAACAAAGTTGACAAACCTATCAGCCAAGAAAAAGAGAAGACTCAAAAGTAATGAAATGCATAATGAAAGAGGGAGGGTCACTATAGTGTGAAAGAGAAGTGGGAAAGAAGTAAAGAAAACCTTAATTGCTTGGGGCAGGAGGGCTGCTGAAGATAAGCAAGAACCATTAGGGAGGAGGCAGGGAGACAAAGAATTTATGGGCTGGGGGGGACTAGGGGTGGAGCTAAGATGTCATAGCAGGCTCTGATTGGAGAAGGCTTGCCGCACAAACCCGAGAAGAAATGAGGAAGTTGAGGTTAACCAGGGAGAAAGAGACAGAAATCAGTCTAGGAGCAGGGTGTATTTGGGTTTTGGCCCCCCACACCAGGCTGGCTTGCCACCAAGATGGCTCAGCTGACTCTTGTATGGGCACAGACCCATTAGTCACTTCCCAGCTTTTGGAAATCAGAAAGGAACAAGAAAGGCCACAAATAACTGCACACTAATTAGAGGTAAACTTTCAGAAAAACACTGATCTCTAAAACTGGATGAAGGTGAAAGAAAAATATTAACTAAAACAAAAAGAGATGGAAATAATCCTTTTAAAATACCTGTTATAACCTGACCAAAACGCCGCCATCCTGTTCTGTATGCACCGTCTTAGTAAACCATGTCAGCTACTGTAAAATGTGACTCTTTGTTTCTTAAGCCCACTCCCTTCAGGGCGTGTTATACCCTGACATTAGTAACTCCATCTTGGCTCTTTGATTCACCCTTGCCCTAGTTAATTACAATGACTCCATCTTGGTTCTCTGATTCACCCCTGCCCTCCTTCCGAGAATGTCTTAAGGCAAAACAGGTGTTCCTGGCAAACGGTCGGCCACATTGTCCTTATAAGGTCAGCATGACCGCATACCTAGATTACACACCCTGTTCTGTATTCCACCTAGTCCAAAGGGGTAACTCCTCTGTGTCCAGCTTCCTCCAGGTGGGCTACAACCAATCCTGTAAAAGGTCATGTGCCCCCTTAACCACATTAACATCTGCTATTAGCTTCTGTGATCAGCTTGCTTGGATGGGCGGTTTTGCGGTTTTTGGGTTTAAATTACTGTGCCTCCCCTTACCCAGGGCTCCTCTCTGTCTCTCGGACTCTGAGGGTGCCGCTGGGTACCAGCTAAAATAAAGCACTACCATCTTTTTGGACGTTTTGCCTCGTTGTCTCCTTCTTAGGTTACAACAGTACCCACAGAAATTCTCAGGTCTAGCAGGCTTCACTAGTGAATTTCTCCAAATGTTTGAAAAGTGATATCAATTATTCACCAACTTCCAAACATACAAGAGTAGGAGATGTTAAGTAGATGTTGTGCACCATACTGTTCCAATTTTTGTGAGAGGCTAGCATTACCCTTGATGCCAAAATGCAAAATTATAAGAGAACCACTGACCATTAGCTCTTCTGAATATAGTCACAGGTACTCAGCAAGATAGCCAACTTCAACAACACTAAGAAAAAAATCAGCTGCCCTGATGATCAGGGGATTATCTTACTAGTAAAACTTCGTTTTAAGCGACTGCTATGAAACCAAAGATTAGTTTAAATTCTTAGACTCCTTTTCAACAGGAGTTTCATATTTCTTCTCTATTCCTTTCTTTTTTTTTGATGTCTTACCAGATGGAAGTACTCTACTTCTAGTACCAACTCTCCTTGGCACTGGGGATTAGTTGGTATTTACCGAAATGGGGGATATATTTTCACCTTATCAAAATCAAAATCTGAAACCAAAAACAAGTTCATTGACCTTCGATTGAACAGCTGGATCACAAGAGGAACCAGGGTTATTTTTATTGATTTTTCATTATACAATGCTAATGTAAACCTGTTTTGCATAATTAGGTAAGTGACTGAAACTCCTGAATTAATATATTGGGGAGATGGCTCAGTAGAGTAAATGCTTGCCTGACAAATGCAAGGGCCTAAATTCAATCCCTGGTTCTGGGAGGGAAAAAAAAAAAAAAAGGTAAAAAAAAAAATTAATACATTGAATTTAAAAAACATCCAGAGACCTCACTGAGGGTTTCAATTTGCTCATGCCTGTGCTGATATTAAATCATAAACTTTAAAATAAATATAATGTAGTTCTATCAATAATGAAAAAGGGCTGAGGATGCAGCTCAGTAGTACAGTGGTTGCCTACCATGCACAGGTCCTGTGTTCAATTTCTAGTACTGCAAATGATGAAGATGATGAAAAAGGTAAAGCAATATCACATTCATTTTTTTAATTAATTCAGAATATATTTGGTAGCATAGAGAATTACAGTGTCAATTTTATATTGCTTAGTCTTTTTTATTTTTTATAGTACTGGGGTTTGAACCCAGGACCTTCACACTGAGTCATACATATCCACAGTCCTTTTGTATTTTGAAACAGCATCTTGCTAAATTGCCCCCATGCTGGGCTCAAGTTTGTGATGTTCCTGAATGCTGGGATTATAGGTGTGCTGTTCTCCCTCTAACACTTCTATTTGTTGATGGGGCTTTTTGTGTTTTTCCCAGTACCAATAAATATTTATATTTTTGGTGTTTTGAGACAGGTTCTCACTATGTAGAGCAGGCTGGCCTTCAACTCACTATGTAGCTCAGGTTAGTCCTGAACTCAGGCAATCCTCTTGCCTTGGCCTCCCAAGTGTTAGGATTATGGACATGTGCCACCTGGCTTCCAGTACCAATAAATATTTAGGTAGGAGTAGCTGCATTGTAATATTGCAATAGAAATGCTGGTTCCTTAAATTACTGCTAATTCTTAAATATCTCATATTGTGAAGAACACTAGAAATAACCAAACAATTTCAAAATCTTTTTGTATTTAGTGGTGGAATTAATTTTAGACTTGCCAGGCTTGATGGCACACACCTATAATCCCAGCACTCAAGAGACTGAGGCAGGAGGACCACTGGTAAATTGGAGGCCAGCCTGGAATACACTTCAAGACCAACCTGGACCTTATAGTGAGAACCCATTTCAAAAAATTTATACTTCTATTTGAATAGATCATTGTATCTAACATCTAATGCCTGTAATAGAAAATATTTTTGTGGAATATGTGACCCTGATATATAGAAGTATGAAGTTTCTCTGAAAAGCTAATGGCAGAGAATGTATTTCTCTCCCTTGAAATATTCAAGAATTACACATATAGGGCCGGAGTTATCGCTCAGTGGCATAATAAGCACTTGCCTGGCAAGCAGAAGGTCTCGAGTTCAATCCCTGATACCACACACACAAAAAAAGAAAGAAAGAAAAAAAGAAAGAAAGAAAGAATTACACATATTTTTTAAGAATTACATATTCTGAAGACAGTCCAAACTAATATCAGTAGCTGCTACTGCACAGCATCTTCCTATGAAGATAAATTAGTATTCCCATTTCTGAATGAAAAAATCTGTACAAAGATAGAATGAATATCTGGCTAACATCACACCTTTCTCTTTTTTTTTTTTTTTCGAAACCGGGAATTGAACTCAGGCCCTTGCACTTGCCAGGGAAGCGCTTATTCTACTGAGCCATTTCCCTGGCCCCACACCTTTCTCTTTACGTTGCTCTTTCACCTCTGCATACGCAAGGCATAGAAAAAGTGGGGGCCAATAAGAAACACGTTGGGGCCAGTGAGATAGCTCACTAGCATAAGCGCTTGCCTGGCAAGCGCAAGGGCCTGAGTTCATCCCCAGTTTAAAAAAAAAAAAAAAGCGTCTACTTGAAATTTTTTAAATTGAACCTGTGATCCAAGAAAACATTTTGTACAAAATAAATTATTCTTTTTGTTTTTTCTTTACTTTTTTCTACAAAATTGTCATTAAAGTATAAATTATAATTAACTAGAGTTTTCTCATTGAATTAAGCACTAAAATATAAATACATGAGACTCAAAGATATTTTCACTAACTTGATTTTACAGACTGGTAGCAGAATTCCCTGCAACTGGAGGAATACTTACGTCATGGCAGTTTTACTCTTTGAAACTCCTCAGATATGTTAGTTACTATGATTATTTTATTGCCTCCTGTGAAATCGTATTTTGTATTTTTCTTGTTGTCTTTACAACACAAGAAATAAAAAAAATTAAAGAACTTAAGTTCGCCTATTTCAAAAGTATTTGGAACTGGTTAGAATTACTCCTTTTGTTGGTGAGTATACATTCATGTATATGGTTGAAAGGGAATCACATCTGAACCCACCAAAGAGGGAATTTTCAATTCAGCCTACCCTTATTTTTATTTGTTTATTTTGGTGGAACCGGGGATCAAACTCAGGCCCTTGTGCTTGCCAGGGAAGTGCTTATACCACTGAGCCATCTCCCTGGCCCCTCTACCCTTATTTTGAAAGCTACAAGTATTAAACCTAAAGTGAACTGTAAAAAAAAAAAAAAAGTGAACTGTAATTGTACATACTAACATGCAATGCTAAAAAGGAGAAATCTGACTTTTTCTGATTGGATCCTTGGGAAGGTCCAGCATAACTCTAGAGGACTATGTGATTCCATAGATATTATGGCTTCATACACATATTAGGTTTCCTTACCCACACTCTGGAAAAGGCATCGCTGTCAGACTCTGGTGAGCGCTTGGAGTGCTAGCTGCTTTGGGAACTTGGGTCAGGAGGATTGCTTGAGTCCAGCCCTGGGCCACCTAGAAGGAGATGGAGAGAGGGGCAGGGCCATGGGGGAGCGGGGCAGGGGGAGAATGAGAGAAAATAATAGAAGAATGAAAAAATGTCTTCCTCACAGGGCCTTATGTTTCACCAACCGTGAATTTTTCTGAGCAAGTTTCCTTAAAATATACTCTTCATGGGGCTGGTGAGATGGCTCAGCGGTCTAAAGCACCTACTTAGAACAAGCTTAGCAAAGCACAGGGACCGCGGTTCAATCCCCCAGCACCACATGCCAGCCTGCCCCTCCCCCACGTGGGCTG